TATGAACGAAATTAAATCAAAAGTGGACCGAGGAAAACAAATTTGAAGTTGTTTCTTACTTCTCAATAAGACGTAATTTGAAGGACAAAGTTTAACAACTATTTTCGAATTGAAAATTTTCCCTCTCGACTTTGAATTTTTCACCGAAGAAAATTTACGACTTTGGTTGAATGAACGTTCAACTTATTTGTTTCCAAAATACAACTTGAACTTGGCGTGCTCTTGTTTTTGGTTCAGTTAGTTCTCCCAGTAACTTTTCTAAGTTGCGATTTTGACTCGATGTTTGTCTCAAAACCCTGAGATTTTATCTCTTCCACCAGCTTCCTCACCCTTATTATTTTTTTAGACCGAGAAATTGCAGAGATGAGCCGTTGGGAGAGAGGTAGGCGCTTCCTATTTCCGCGAGGAATAAATCTGTTAATTAATGATTACGTCACTGCTGAGAACTAATTAATTCTCCGACCCGGAGCTCCAGCTCAAAGCACCGAGCTCCCCATCTTTGAGGCGCTCTTACCGTGTTGATTGTAGTGAATCGATCTCCTCGACTTATTCGCTCGTTATTAAGTTTTGTAGGAGTCGAAGTTCGATTGTATGATGCTCTTCGATATTTTAAAATGTATTCTATCGAAGTTTCGATATTTGTAGGTTGTGACCTAGCAGTAAAAAGTTGAGTATGATCTAAACTATATTTTAGATACCATCTCGATAGGAAAACGGAGCATACCTCAAAGCACGACGTATCTCGATGTTTTTTAACAGATTTTTACTATCGATTACAGATGAAACAGCTGTACTTTTTGTCGGTGCAAATTAATTTTCACACTTTTCCTCGCCCATTTAACAAAATAACTTCCAAAAACATTCTTTCACACTTTTCCAATAGACCGTATTCGATAACGGTTCGATGTATCGTTTGGTTCAAAACAATAGCACATAACCTCAAACCAAACTGTAAGGATTTAAGTTGGAAAAGCTGAAAATGAGAAAATTCCTAACAATTTCACTTTAAATTGGCATTTGGTTCGTAAAAGAATAAAAAATCTGTTACAAAAGACCCGTTCTCTCAGATTTCTGAATTTACTTTTGAGGCTATGTTTATGTTTTGAACCAATCGATATCGATACAATCTCAGCCGTTTGATGTATCGAATACGATCTATAGTCTTCGTATGATCACGGTTGTTACCATCACCATCTCTCTCAATCCCTGCTTAATAAAGCCGGGGAAAAGTTTAGTCTATCAAAATAGGAGAAGATACTTGGAATCGTGCTTATGCACCAAGGATATAGTCAGTGAAGTCAGAGCGCCTTCATTTTTAAATGTATGTGACACAGATGTCCGCAAAACACGAATAGTCGCATTTATGCGCCGTGCTGCCATTAACTCGGTGTGGACACCTCTAATTCATTATCGGAGATTGGGAAAATAGTCATAAAGAAGCAAATAATTGTATTTCCTTGCGAAAAAGTTCAACAATCGTCTGCCAAATATCCTGATTCTTTGTTCTAAAAAAAAAAAAAGCTCGGATCTACAATGGTGAGAGACTAGGTAGGGCACAAAACAGAGGCACGTTTACTTTTCTATCCCAGCGTTCAAGTCTCTCCGCTCTCAGCAAAAAGGTCAACTTAAAATATTGACTTTCAACCATACATAAGTAGATCCATCCCACAAAACTACGATTTTTCATTTTAGAAAGTATAAATGTAGAACTGTAATCGGTGAAAGTTCATAAATTCCCTAATTCCACATGTACTTACCGTAGTATGTTTGGGAAATCTATTTTGTTTTCGTTCTAGTAGCTGCTTTCACGAAGAAGTCGAGGATGAGGGTGAACTTCTGATATGAGATTTATAGATAAGGATTAACAGCAGTTGGAATGAGGGTGTAATGTTGCGCGTTTACACTAAGGTACATTTTGACCATTCCAGAGTCTATATCGACCATTTCAGTCCATTTCGACCTTTTCAGTCCATCTCGACCTGTTCAGTCCATTTTGAACATTTCAGTCAATCTCGACCATTTCAGTCCATTTTGACCATTTCAGTCCATTTTGACCCTTTCAGTCCATTATGACCCTTTCACTCTATTCCGCCCATTTTAGTTCATTTTGACCGTTTCACTCTATTCCGCCCATTTTCGTTTATTTCGACCGTTTCGGGCCCATCCTACCGTTACGCTGCGGTAACCGAGGCCACCCGAAATGAGTCCGAGCGAGCGGTGTCGAACGTCGAACAGTCGGGCGCGCGGCGAGGCGCTTTATTTGAATTAAGAGACCGTTTCCTGTTCGATCACTAAATCACACGTCGCGCGTCGTTCGTGCGTTCGTGTGCGTGAGTGTGAGTGCACAGCTGATCCAAACTGGACGCGAACGGCGTTTCATAACCTTGACTCCGGCTATCAAGGTCCCGGGGCTCTCTGTCACTCCCGTGCGTCCGACGATTCGCCATCCTCGTCGTCACGTAGCCGTTTTTCAGCAACGTTGCCAGTTCGGGCAGATATTCGCGGTGAAAATCCGATTTTAAAGGAGCATTTTGCACGAGTCGGCAACGTCCCCTTCGAGACTGCCGATGGAAAATTGCGGTCTTTTTTGCCCGCGTCCAGGGCTGTCAAGACGCGTCTGGGATCGACGGCTACACTGCCGTGCTAAGGAAGAACGCCGTATAAACATTCGAGAGTTGCCAAATTTCCTCTCCAAAAATATTTATTTTGGAAGAAATTTATGAATATTTTTCCTTGAAATTTTCAGAAACTTCAGGTGAAATTACGAACAAAATTATGTGAAAAGTTGGAGGAAAAATATTCACAAATTTTCTCGAAAATTCGTGATTTATCAAAGGAAATTTAGCAACAGCTGAAGGTTCATACGGCGTTCTTCCTTAGCACGGCAGTATACCGGCATTTTTGCCCGGGTTTTCCGGTGGATTCTGCACCGCTGGCCGACGTCGATGACGAGTGAAGTCGTAAACCGATGGAAAGTTCGGCGTGTTTTCGCGGTGCGGCGCGGTGGCGGACTTTTTGGTCTGCCCGCGGGCGCTCGGCAGGGCTCTTGCGCGCGGCTGGTTTTGGGAGCTCGGCACGCGCTTCTACGTGAAACACGTTTTTTTGCCGGGCGAAACGCGAGACGCTACCTCGGGATTACCTTTCGAAAATTAGGCGTCTGATTTCTGAGCCGGTTCTGGTCTGGTCGAAGTGCTGGTAACATTTGACAAGAGGATACACACGAAAGAACCGTTTTATCACCGCTTGTCACCTCAACTCCTGATCAAATTTAGCTCAACGGAGGGGAAAATTGAAAAACATTTAACGAGCACTGGAAAGAAAACACCTTGGATCTAGAGTCCAGACTCTCAAAAACATCGACAAGAAAAAATACTCTTGATTCAATCAGATTTAAGCTTAAATTAAGAACCAAGCCTCTTAATTTGAGCGGATTTCCTTTTGATTTAAGCTTAAATCTGATTGAATCAAGAGTCCTTTTTCTTGTCAATGTTTTCAAGAGTCTGGACTCTAGATCCAATGTGTTTTTTTTCCAGTACTTTGACCACCTGTCAAATTCTTCAACCAGAAGTTAAATTTAAATCTTGGTCTCTGCAGGTTGCTGATCGATATTGACAGACAAAGCTATAGACAGAGAAGACATAGGCAAATAAAGCGATCCTACTAGTGGAAGTGGGTGGTTGCAATAGACAAAGAAGGTACGCAATAGACCAACTAACGGCAACCGACAAGAGATCCTACAATTATAGTCCATCATTTTTCATCTTGGTCTATACGAACCGCCCGTTTCAGCCAATAGGATCGCTCCGTACATGCATTATGTCCTCTTAGTCTATCGTTTTGTCTATCAATTGCAATAATCAGCCCGCTGATTGGTTGAGCCCACAGTCCTTTGCAAAAGTTTCTCCATCAATTTCTGATTACTCTGTCACCCAAAGGGTGATGTATCCGATAATGTTGGTCCCAGAATCATCAAGGATCTCTTCATGTTCATCATGCATATAGCTCTTCTTAATTTTTGCTCATTCAATGGACGAAGTACGATACTATGACTTGCTATGACACGCACAGATAACCCAATTTAAGTGCAGAACATTAATACTTGAAACTTATCACCCTCTATTATGACGTAAAATCTCTCACCTCAAACCTGAGACCTGAGACCCCGGGAAAACCTTGTCGGAGGCCGCAGTCATTCATGGATGGCCGAAGACCTTAATCCTTGCCAATGATAACGCGATGATCCGGTAGTCTAACGACGCGGGGTTTCCTGTCCTACTGTCGCACCAATTAGCAAACCACTGCTCCTCCCCTTCCCCCCGAAGAAAGCAAGCTAAAAGAAGCCAGGAGTCATCTCCAATCCGCATTCCTGCTAATTGCGAATCAGTCAAAGCCATGGTCGGTGGTGGACTGACGTAACAATGGTCGCAGTTTACAAGGTCCAAGGATCCCATGAAGGTCCATGGTGGAGGGAGGGAGTCCAGGGGCAGGTCTTTTGGGTCTGTCATCCTCACTCTTTTTCGGTCGATGTCAATTTAAAGTCGAGCTTTAACACCAATTTAGTCCTTAGCTTTTAACAATCGAGAGAGGGGTTGAATTGTAATGTTTCTGCGATCTGTCTGCTAAATTTTTCAGCTGTATGGATAGATTCCTCGGTGGTTCTTATTTTTTTATGATGAAACAATTACTCACGTGTAGTATAGCCACAGCATGACTCCATTTGGATCCTTCCTAAATTTTTTCAGTTTTGGCAAAAAATGAATCTCGGACTTTAGCACCCTATAGTTTTTGAATAGTTCAGATGGTACACTATACCATCACATCAAGAAGTTTCAGGGAGAGGAGGCAATACACCTGACCTCACACTGAACCTCAGGTACTGTCTTGACACTTACCAATTCCCAAATGGGAATTTCTCGCCAAATATTTTCCAAATCCCAGATTGTCTAGTAGGCATAGCTTACTTCAACCGCTAACGTTCCGTATTTTTGTATTTTTTGCAGGAAAAACATGTGGGAAAGAAAACTCCGACAAGAAAGAAGACACAGATCTTTGGTCCAACGTCGAGGCTCAAGCAGCATTCCTCGGACCTAACTTATGGGATAAAACATTACCTTATGATGCCGACCTTAAGGTAACTTGAATTTCCTCCTCAGTTCCTCATTATTACTAAAAATCAAAGTGTAGGGAATTGGCCAATGTTTCTTGCCAAAATTTTCAGATAATTTAATTCGCAATTTAATCTAAAATATCTGGAAAATTTCTCTCCCATACAGGTTCTCTAGCACTATCGTGTCTCTCGTGAAATTTTACATTAGAATAAGTATTTAAAACGCAAATCCCTAACACTTGCGAGATATTCATTTTCAGTTTGTACTTTAACGTAATTCTGATGAATTTCTCACACACTGAAAAAAAGTTACGGGCTATATAGACATGTCGTTCGCTCTGGGCTCAGAAGCCCAAAGTTCCGTACCGTCGACTGCTCCAGCGGGCCGATTATTGAAACTGATAGACAAAGCGATAGACAAAGAAGACATAGTAAGTATCGAGCGATCCTATTGGTTGACATGGTTGGTTCTTATAGACTAAGGAAAAAAATGACGGACTAACTGTCGGGTCTTTGGTGGGTTGCCGTTAGTTAGTCCATTACCGACCTCCTATGTCCATTGCCACCACCCAAATCCACCAACAGGATCCCTCCAAATCCCTTTCGTCGTCTTTGTTTATAGCTTTGTCTATCAGTTTCAATAATCGGCCTGCAGGTGCCAAGCCCGGAACGCAGTCGGTATGTCTATACATACAGCTCGTCAGTACAGCTCCCACGGCCGGAATTTTTTTTTGTACATAGTTTTTTTTCAATTTCGGGTAAAATTTGGCGAAAATCGGAATAAAATTCGACTAAATTGGTGTTTGTGTGGTTTGTGTGTTTAGCAGTATGTGGACTTGGACGAGTTCCTGTCGGATAGCGGGATCCCGGTGGACAGCGGCGGCGGCGGCGGAATGGTGCCCAAGCCGGAGACCGGACGCCTGTCTCCGTGCAGCTCCTCCCAGCAGCCTGTCCTCGGCGTCACCAAACGGGAGCCCTCCCCTGTACCTTCCGAACCTATGAGCCCTCTAGCCATTAACCCTCCTTCACCTGCAGATTCAAGTAAGCACCCACCCTCAAAAATTTCAGGTCATTTGGTCCACTAAAAGTTGGTTCACAGGAAGGCCTTGTCTCCACGAGCCGTTTCACGAGATTTGTCCCAGGGAAAAATCCCACTTACGAAGTTGGGGAAAATATTGAGTTAATCAATATTTTTCCCAGTACCAAGTATGGTACTTGTACCCCTAGGATCCACTGAGAGAAGAAGAAGAAGTGAAAACGAAGTGTGCTATATTTTATTCATTACTACATCGTTAATGTTTGTTTAGTTAAAAAATGTGTCTAGTTGTCAATTGAGTGCAATTATTATTTTAATCCCGGTTAAATACTCGACTTTAACTAATTTATCTTCCCGCGCAAACTAGGCGCAGGACTGTATGAGCCCCGTCCCGTGGAGACGGTAACTTGGAAAAATCCCAGAAGTTTCATTCCTGCGATTCGAACTTGGGACAAATCCCATGAAAACGTCCCGTGGAGACAAGGCCTAACGACGTCTAATAAATTAGATCTAATGACAAAAATTCCAATATATTAAGTCCACAGACAATATGTCTAATAATCAAATACGTCTACTTTACAAAAGGGTCTGCAGGCTTATGGTCCAAAAAAAAAAAAAAAAAAGATCTTTCGCGAGGTTCCATAAGTAATGTAACGCACTCTTTCGGCCCTTAAGATTCTTTCCTTTTTTTGAAGTTGAGTAACGCAACCATGGACACCCCCCCAGTAATTTCATAACGCTTAACGGAACCTCTCGGAAGATCTTAATAGAAATTGTGGGATACTTTTGAATCGATGGCTCAAGTGCGTCACCACGTATCTTCATCACGGTGTATAAAAATCTCCGCTCCCATTGTTAATTATTTTTTTTGAAAAGGAGCAAGTCAACTTCATAGCTTGAAATTAATGCAGAATATTCTACGGACAAAGAAAAAAATGAAATAAGTTTTCGATAAATTGCGTTGACTAATTCTCCAAGGAAAAAGTGAAGTATGATTGGAAGTCTGCAACGTCGCAAACGGAGATACGAGGTCTCGCACTTTGGCCACCGATACATAGCTGGATAAAATTTGACGTGCTTTTATTGATAGTGTAAAAAATAACGTCGAAGAAATGAGGATGATACATCTTGGATTTCGTATGTTTTAAAAAAAACAAGCGGAATCAAGGATATGAAAATTCGTATAATCTGACTGGTTTTGGCATAGCCTAAAACATGAGGCATTTGTTTTTGTTTTGTTCCAATAACCTAAAGAAAGAAAGAAAGAGAGCTCAAGAGACAGGGAAACACGATAAATATTATTTTTACGCTGTGCACCAGTACATGTACAGATAGTTTGTCTGAAAAATTGAGGGTGCTTTTATGATGTGTTTGTAATATCAATTTGGTTAACTGAATGTTTTTGTGTTTCACAGCTTTATCTTTTGCATCATCGAGTAGAGACTTTGATCCGAGAACACGGGCCTTTTCTGACGAAGAGTTGAAGCCACAGCCAATGGTAAAAAAATCAAGGAAGCAGGTGAGAGGCAACACCTGGTACCCTTTATTCATACTCAGCTTGAAGTAGAGAGGCTCGGCGCTTAAGTCACTGTGCGATGGTTGCCCGCACCAGATTTGAATTAGTTGCTCAGAAGCTATAAGAAAATTAAAAATAAATATTTAATAGCCAATTTCACGGCTCAGCATGCTCACTGCTCAAATAGAACAAATCTGATCGGTTAAATTAACCAAACTTTTGTTCCTGTGTAAATAGTAGACTAATGTTATAGCTCAGGTAACCAAAATTTTCGATTTTGGTAAAGAAAATTTGGCTGGATGAACGGAGTTTGGTTTGTTTAACTGACACTTTTCTGATGGTGATTCCACTGTAGTTACATAATGAAACATTGATGTAAACGGTAGCTCTAGTAATATGCATTTAATTTAGAGCCTTGCCCTGGTGACTGGGAGCACATATGGACCTACGATAATTGAAATAACGAAACCAGAAAAATGTTGATAATGATAAGAGAAAAAATGCAAGAACAGGGAGAAAAAAGAATAAAGAGCAAAATTAATTTTCCAAATGCTACCTCTCATGCACCGCTTAATCTCGCTAAAATTTTGGAAAATATCACCTTGATGAAATTCGTATTTTGGAAGGGGGAGTACCTGAATAGTAGCAAAAGAATCTGCATTTTTTAATTTACATAAATTCAACTTTTTACCGTCTTTTGAGAGCGCTAAATAAGGATATCACAGTTTTACTTCGAGTAACGAGGAGAAAAAATAATAAACCAACAACTTAAAAAAATGAGAGGAAATAAATAAAAGAAACAAATGATCAAAAGAAAACTTTAGGAATGGGTAAATTTTCTTTTTTAATAAAACTTGAGTATCCTTCCAAAGCAGCTTCTTCATACCTCTTGGTTTTTTGTCCTCTTGCAGTTTGTACCCGATGGTCTCAAGGACGAGAAATATTGGGCCAGGCGCCGAAAGAACAACATGGCGGCTAAACGATCTAGAGATGCCCGTCGTCTTAAAGAAAACCAAATCGCTCTTAGAGCTGGTTTCCTCGAAAAAGAGGTATGTATATGTATAATATACATAGACAACCTATGTATGCATTGCTCTGAATAATGAATGGATGTATTTATGCTAAACAGAATGATGTGAGAATGAATAAAATCAAATGGAACTGCATGTGCATCGGGCATTCGTGCTATATGGTTCCTTTATCATTAATATAAACTTCGAAGGATTCTGCCTTTTTCTATTTCACTCGAGGGGAAGTGTCCCCTCCCGGACTCTCTTCCCCACCCGGTGACTGACGCTGCGCTGTGCTGAACGGTTCAGCCTGAACCTTTCCCCTACGTCTGACCGTTCCCCACTCCTCTGTCAATCGAACCAT